GGGCTTTATGCGACGAAGTATTTCCAAAAGAATATGTTTGAGAGGTGCTTTATTGTCTTAAAACCCAACCACCTCTTACATTGAGAACGACTGATTGAAGATAGAAACTGTGCTCAAGATGATTTAAATTTCCATTGAAAAGTCACTATAATTTTGTTTAAAGTAAATAAAAAATTCAAATCTTTATTTTCACATTGCGAAAAAAAGAGAATTTAAAGTGAAGTAAAAGAAAGTTTGTTCACAGAGACGCTGTCATCAATCATCCTGCTCAGATTTCAGGTGGCAGTCAGATTTTTTTTATTCCGAGCCCTGCCGTCTTATGAAGCTAAGATTGCTCATTCTTATGATGATTTATGGACGTTTTTGGTTCTGATCAAGTAAGGTTTTATGTTATTATATTTCATTGTTCTTGACTGGTAGTTCTAAGAGAACATCGCTCGACAGATGCTTGCCAAAGCAAACCAGCTGCGCCGAAACAAAGTGTCTTCCTCAATCACCCAATCATGTTTCGACTGAAGTGCAAAGTTGCTGCTGACGACAACGGATATGTATTCCATTCAAAACTAATGAAAACCTAGACGATACAAAGAAAACCATTGTTGGTTCTCTCTCAGATAGATGTGTCGTGACTACAATTAGATTCGACAGAGACTTTAGGCTTTTAGTCCTGAAATCCCGCGAATATTGAACCGGAACTTGACTGAGCGTAGGAGCTTTTAAAACATTAAGAGCACCTTTCATCAAAAGATTGAGAATGTTTGAAAGTGAAGTTCTGAGTTTTAAGAAAAGGGAAGACGTCAAGCTGATGATCCGTTCTTAAGTGCAGCGAGGACTTTGTCAACCGCTGCTCATTTAGTGATTAAATTAAACAGAAAAATTTGCGGTTGTAACCCGCAGTGTTGCTTGCTTATGATGTAAGTAGAAAAGCTAAACTCGAGCACGAAGTTAACACTCAGCAAAAACTCATTCTTGCTTGTCAAAACATCGAAAGATTTCAAAAAAAATTACTCATTAAGAGTTTAAATTAAAAAAAAAAGACTTATTTCGTGACAACAGCGCAATCTCCCGCTTTTGTTAATCGTCGAACCCTAAATGGCTTGCACCGAACTGAGTCCTATGTCTATTAAATATATTTTTTAACGTTCTACCACTCGCACATACAGCTAAAACTACTGGTAACTGACCAATATCGAGTCCTTTTTTTAATGTATTAAAGTCGGCTTTCTCTGAACGGCAGTTCTTGTTCTAGATGATATTTTTTAAATGAGGAGAATATGATAACGGGATATGGTATTTCATGGACTAGACTGGCCTGGACTGGACTGGACTGGACTAGTAAAACGCGGACTAGTAAAACGCAGACTAGTAAAACGAGGACTGATAAAACGCGGACTAGTAAAACGTGGACTAGTAAAACGCGGACTAGTGAAACGCGGACTAGTAAAACGCGGAATAGTAAAACACGGACTAGTAAAACGCGGACTTGAAAAACGTGGACCTAATTTTTTTCATGTTATTCCGTGTTTGTAAATCGAATAAAACTTAACGGTAACGGACTTAACAACAACAACAACAACAAAAAACAATTTCATACGAAGGCGATCACAAGACTTAATGGCGAGCCAATTTGAAAAATTTGTCCATTTGATGTATGCCATTTGATGGTATGCCATTTCGACGGTTTAGTGAGTGACAATCCCTGTTTGACCTTTAAGCTACAAATGGGTTTGACATGTGCCAGATACAAATGATTTTATAAGTTAAGGCTAAGAAAGAATTTTATTCAGCACCAGTTCAAAATCCTAATTTTGTTTCATCGAATCATTCAGCGGCCAGTTGAATAATTTTTTTCGGGTTTTTTCATGTTTGGAAATGGAATAAAACATAACGGTAACGGACATAACAACAAAAAAATTCATACAAAGGAACAAGACTTAATGGCGAGTATAGTTGTATCCAGAAATGAACGTGATTATATTGTGGGTCAAAGCAATAAAAACTGCATAACTTAGGAGACGCGAGCCGACAATTTTCGTTTTCTAACGCAACTAAGTTAAGACAATTTTACTTAACTAACAATCCGAGATGCTGCACAAATCTCTGAACAGTTCAACGACATCAATAACAATTAACGGTGTACCTCGAAATAAGAGGTATCATAACTGCTAACAGTGACGGAGAATACAAATCTACAAATGAGATTTATATTATAATTTAACGTAAATGTAATCTGCAGTAACAACCCCAGATGCTACAGCTCAACGGCGTCAATAACAATAAAAAATTCGTAGTTTTCAATCTCATGCTTTCAAATACTCGGGACATGATATGGTGACATGATCGTGACAGACCCCAGTCCAACCAGAACCTTACAGCAAGTCTTTGTACGATCATCTGTTTGTGTTCTTAGAGAAGAAACGGTTGACCCATTTCCGTTTCCTGTAGCAAAATAAGGGACCGTCGCTCAATACATCACGATATGTTATTCACCAGCCGGGAGGTCCGTATTGCGAAAAACTGTGCCTGAGGTCTCGGATACTCAAGACCGAGGGCACAGTTTTTCCCAAAACGGACCGACCTAGGCTGGTGAATAACATTTTCATTTTTTTCTAACACATAAAAAATGATTGCCAAAAGAACCCGAATGATTTAGGGCTACAATTGATAATAATAATAATAATAATAAAGGTTTTTTAGCATTCGAGAAATGAATTGGCTCTTTTATGCTAAAATTACTATACTATTCTAATTACGCTATATCATATAGTTTGCAATAAATCACATTCTAATTAAGAATTCAAATATAAACAAGCTAAAAGGCCTGAGATTCATGTTTCTAATGTCTTTCCAGCGGTATTAAAAAGATATGATGTCACATCACTCTTAAAGGATCGAAAGTCTGTGCAGTTCCGCAAATAACTTGGTAATGCATTGAAAATGGCTGCTGAGCTGTCTTGAAAAGTACCATTTTCGATGGGCACCTTTAATCTGACTTTACAGGACGAGCGTAGATTTCTTGCTGGTACGTGTTGTTCGAGTTCTAAGTACTATGGCCAATAGTATAAATATAGTGCTTTGAAAAAGTCAAATTGTAAGTGAATGCAAATATGTGTTTTGGAGTTGTCAGTCTGCTTGCTTGTTTTCTGTAATGGCGTGTGTAAATCAGTTTTTCTTCCACCGAAAAGCTGAAGTCAATGAGACTCTTTCTACCTAGACACAAGGAGATTTAATGCGACTTTTATTCATCGAATTCCTGCGTTTCTGCTGTGAAATTTACGGCGAAAGTGTATTTTAGGATTTTGAACTGGTGCTGAATAAAATTATTTCTTGGCGTAAACTTATAATGCACCTATCAATGGTTTGCCCCAGGATGGGAGGGGGGGCAACCCACAGGAAATTTGACATTTTCAGGTTTCCAAATGTCAATTTCCCCACCCCTTGGGTCTCCATTGTAAGTCAAATTCCCACCCCTGGGGACCACAGACCTTCATAGTAAGTTAAACGAAATGATAGGCACTCACAACAAGTTTATTGCAGCACTCCTCGAGACAGTAACAGTACTTGTTGAAAAATGGTTCCCACCAAGTTTGTGTATTTTCCTAAATGAAGAAGGCATATTCTAGGTATTTAGCATGGTTTAGTTTTGGTTCGCAATTTCACACACATTCTGTACCGCTGAAAATACCTGTGACATAGAAAGTATCAAAAAATTAGATTATTTGATAAAGCACTCCTTGTCATTGTTTGGTGAGATTTGGCACAGGTTCAAGTCTGGATTTATCCTCTATGCCACGCCTGGAATAGGTCGTATTCCGCTTTCATACAATACAATACAATACAATAACTTTATTTAAAAAGGGAAGCGCAATAACCTATTACAGTTTTCTACCCTACGGCCCTCAAAAATAAGTAAACAAATAGACAAATAAGTATAAAAGATAAAAATATAGATATATATTCACAAAAGGCATTATATAAAGTAGAATAGACTATAAAAACGAAATGAATAATATAAATCAACGAAAGGGGGCAAAACTATAAATGAACACGGACACATACATATGTAAAATTAGATTAAAGACGAACAGTAGTTACTATGAAAAACAGTGACAATGGATGGAATAGCGGCAAGGTCCACAATTGACCAGATTTTCATTTAATTTAACATTTGGATTATACTAGCAAATCTATAAACACAGAGAATAGGGCGGCATCCCTTGAAGACAGTACAGGTAAGTAGGAATTAGATTTTGATCTAAATGAGCTCTTGTGCGAATATTTCTTCTCAAAGCTGAAGGAAAAATACCTTCTGTTATTAGAACTTTTAAGACAGAGCACTGATGGGCATAAAAAATAACATTTTTGCAAAGCAACACGTCACTCCATACCTTTCGTTCAGCCATCCCTCGCTCAAATGACCTCTGGGTATTTTCCAAGATGGCGGACCACTTACTCATTCCCAGGTCCTCTCCACTTTTCAAGATGACTGCCGAGTCAAATTTCCCACCCTGGGGACCGTTGTGGATGTCAAAATCCCACCCACTTGCGCTTTACGACGTCTAATTCCCGTGGGTTGCCCGGTCCCCCATCCTGGGGCAAACCATTGATAGGTGCATAAAATCGTCTGTATCTGGCGCATGTCAAACCCATTTGTAGCTTAAAGGTCAAACAGGGATTGTCACTCACTAAACCGTCGAAATGAATTGGTATAACATCAAATGGACAAAATTTTTAAAATTGACTCGACATTAAGTCTTGTGATCGCCTTCGTATAAAATTGTTTTTTTTGTTGTTGTTAAGTCCGTTACCATCCGATTTACAAACATGGAAAAACATGAAAAAAATTAGGTCCTTGTTTTACAAGTCCGTATTTTACTACTAAGTCCACGTTTTACTTGTCCGCGTTTTACTAGTCCAGTCCAGTCCAGTCGGCGAAATACCATATGCCTATTATTACAACCTATGCTTTTAAAAATAAGTTGTTTAATGAGTATAAAATGCTGCATTGAAAGAAGGGGTTAGGGTTTATCATTTGATACCGTGGGAATTAATATTACAAAAGCATTTCGGAGCGAAATCATACCATTTATTCCTTGAACAGACAGCTGCGGATTGAAAAGTTTTCAAAAGCCATTGCCGAGGACACGTGCATTGGTTATATTTACTCTGATCTGTCAGAAGTGCAGGTGATCATATAAGGTATACATTCACGTTCGCTTTGATATTAGTAGGAGCTGTGCAAAAGCGCTGACGATTCGCCGTGTTCAGTAACTGCACGAAACTCGCTCTAATCTGACATAACTCTCTCCCTTGTCGCTACCGAGGAAAGTCAACGTATTTCCACAGGCAAGTAGGTTTTTTTTTCCATCAATTATGTGCTGTCAATCCAAAGATAAGTTGCTTCCTTTCCGGTCTAGAATATTTTAAAGAAAAGCAATTTCGTAGAGGATTTGTTCGTCACTTTGGTAATTCCCTTAAAGTAGGATTTTTTAGGAAGACAGTAGGTTCGTAGTTTTACGACCTTTCGAAATAAATCAATGACAGAAACGATTGCATAGTGGCGATTGTGGAGAGGAAGGTTGTGTTTGAACTATTGAACTATGAAGACGGCCGAGTTCTTGTCTAGTGCAAATAAACATTCTTTCCAGTAGGAAAAAAAATGATTTAAGTGAACTAGTAAATTCCTTATCTCCGTTAAGTTAGCTCAGAAATCAGGATAAAAAAACGAAAAAGCATTTGCGAATTTTAGCTTTTGAAAGTCACTTTCATTTCATACATTATAATCGAATCGCTCAATATTCCATAGGGCCAAAGTTGTTGAAGCGTGTTTGTTTTACTGCTGGAGAATTGGGTTAAGTTCAAAGAAACTAACAGTTTGGCAACAGGGATATCTGCAGTTCCAAATATACGATTATTTCTCAGTTGTCGTTATTTGCATTAGGTCTATTTGCCATAGAAAACTAGATCTTCCATGATACGATCTAAAATATAAAGTGAATGTTTGATGATAGAAGAAAACGCCCCATGATAGTCATGAACGATTTTGAGTTTTAACCGACAAATTTAACTCGGTAAAGGCCAATCAACCGTGGAAGAGTTTAGTTTTCATTCCTTGATTCACGAGAAGGAACTCTTCAGTTCCAAAACGCAATTACCCTGTTTTTGTTGAAACCATGGTAACAACGTTTATCAAGAAATTGATTCAGCTTAGAAATTTCGTCGTTTTGGCAAAGCTATAAATTTCTTATTGACTTTTTCGAGACACGTAGATCTTCTGAATTGCAAAAAAAGATCATAACATAAAGTATTTCATCAAACACTCGAAACTGACCGCATTTTCGACAGATCTTTTACGAATTTGATCTAACCATTTTCACGCATTTCATTTGGCGTCTAATCATATCCTATTAAAGTGCTGCAAATTTTACAGATTCCCGTTAGAATTATTTCTTATCTTGTTCAAGGCTTTCTAATTTTGCTTAACCATTTTTTTAAGCGGATGATGCAGTTTTGATCATGGCTTGAGATGCAGCCTGCATCAGGTCTTGAATCGATTTACTAGCGATTTGCCCGATTCCAATCAAGTAGCCCTGCTCAAGTAGCANCGTAATTTCCGAATTTAAGCACCTTCTGGCAGAATGCAAATTCTACTCAGGTAGTTATTGATCAGTAGGGTCTTGAAAACTTCCGGCTCTCGTCGCAACGACGGTTAGCTTAATTTTCAGATTCGTTAATAATTTATTTTTTAATGGGTTGCTTTTGACAACTCCCGGTGAATCATGCAAGCTTTTCACAAGGTTTCGAAAGACGTAAACTGTAGTTGGTTTGTTCCTTTTCGGTCAGTGGAACCATACCATGCAAATCATCAGTTAACTTAACAGGGACAGCGCTGCGTTCTTGAAGCACTTAACGATTCTGTCATGTAGGCATTAAATTTTCGGCGGGTATGACAAGCTGACGCAAAATTAAAACCAGTCAAATGATAAACTGCATTAAAAGTATCTTAACAACATCAAAATAGGTTCTCTGTATTTGCCAACCTTTCGAAGTTTAATGTTGTCAGCTGATATATGGGAATTTTTTCGAATTAAAAAAATTAAAAATTCAGCCATTTGTTTGACAGGGTTCCATGTGTTTAATATACGCTTTTTCTTTTTAAAAAAGAAAATTCTATAAGGTAACGACCAGCAATTTGAGATCATTATGTCGTCGATTGAGGATATCAGTTCTGTTGATTAAGATTAGCATGCATGACATACTTACACGGACCATGAACCCTTTCACCACGGGAATAACATTTCCCTTCCACTTGGGTTGACCAGATGTGAGCCAAGATGTTTGGTAGGACACTCAAGTCACTCCTATGGTTTGTCTCCTTTAAAATGTCAAGATAACCTGAAAATGCGCCTGCGATAACAAGATATTGACCAGCATTCCATCCACCTATGGTGAGGGCGAGTTATTTCTCTATTCATTCATGCTATGATACGCTGGGGAAATAGGAAGCTCTAGGATTGAGAATGGAGATCTTTCCTGAGTTTAAGGAGTAATAAAGGTGCCGCAAGCCCCTTTTAAGGATTTTTTTTGCTCGGAAGGTTGATGGACTCTCTTTTATGAACCCGTAACTACGGTCGTAAATTGTTGTATTCGTTCAGTTTATTGATCTACCGAAAAATATCTCTGCTAAATAACACGTGTCATGAAATATATACAAGTAATTTGATCATAATGTAAAACCGGAAAATCAAGATGAAATCATATACGATCTGTACAAACAAAACAAAACTCGCGAATAAATGTTACATAACAATCGTGACGCGTGACTGTTCGCGACACTCCCCCTAGTTGTTTACCTATGTGAATCAACTACACGCATTGACATATTAAACCGATAAACGATCTGACTTGTAAAGTTCAGAGTTCAAATTTCGAGCTATTTACACGATCCTTGAAATAGTTTAATAATTGTCCACTATGGTTTTACTTCTGTTGGAATAAGGTGCTGAATCGGTCGTCTTAAACGTTAATTGGAATTAGAACTCGTTCCACGCGGTACGGTAACTATTGCCGCTCGCACAATTCCGTCACGTTCAGGCAACAGTTCTTCTACCTTAGCCAATTCCCAAAACGCACGCGCAACAGAATCGTTCTTGAGAATCACGACATCACCGACCTTGAATTTCGCATTAACACTACGTTGACTTGATCCTTTCGTAACTTGTTCGCGCAAACTGGTTAAGTATTCGTTCCTCCAACGACGCGTAAACTCTTAGTCAAAGAATTGTACGTGCTCATGGTCTCGTAATGCTAACTGTTAGGATTCAATGTGATTCGTCGGCCATAAATAAAGTCTGACGGGGTTAACGGCTACGAATTAAACTGACTCTTCGTCATCACAAACGTAAGTAAGTAGTCTGGCGTTGATCACTGCTTCTACTTCGGTTGATAAGGTGCTCATTTCGTCGTAACTCATAGTATACCGTCCGATAACTTTCTTGATCGGTGACTTGATACTTCCAACGAGTCTTTCCCAATAGCCTTCCCTCCAAGGCGCTTTTTCCACGATAAAATTCCAAGTAATCCGTTGGTCAGTTAAGTTTCTCCATACTTCTGGTGATCGAGCGATCTTTCGAATTTCCTTGCTGGAAGAATGAAACGTTTTGCGTTGTCAGATTGTATCGTTGCTGGTAATCCTCTTCTACTGGTGAATCTGCGGAAAGCTAATAGGAAATGTTGTACATTCAGTCCTCGTGTCAATTCCAGATGAACGGCCCGAGTTGACGCGCATGTAAATAGGCACACATAAAAATTATTGGAATTAGAGGCACTCTCTTGTGAACTTCTACGATCTTCTTTGACGTACAATGGTCCGGCGATATCCAACCCAATGTGCGTAGAAGGGGGATCGTCGGAAACTCGATTACTCGGTAAGTGGGTAAATTGTGAGGGCTTGCATGGTGATGCTTCGTACCTGCGGCAAACTACACAATGACGAATAACTCTCTTTACTGTTTCGCGTCCATGCAAAACCCAGTATCGCTCCCTCTAGGCTATCAATGTAGCGTTGATTCCTGAGTGCTTGACCAGATCGTGTTTTTGTTTGATTAAAAGCTTAACGAAGGTGTGCTTAGCCGGCAAAAGAATTGGAGACTTGCTAGAAGTAGGTAGTGGAGCGTTCGAGATTCTTCCTTTGCATCTGATTGTTCGGTCTTCCCCGAGAAATAATCCGAACTGAGCTACTCGAATTGGAGGCGTGGATTTGGAGTTTTTCTTATTAAGAAGAGAAAGTTCGTCGACGAAGGAATTCGCTTGTACCGATTTAATCCATAGGGTTTCAGATTTCTTCAATTCGTCTGCTGTTAATTCGTTGCTTAAATTTCCTTGACTCTGTCTTCGCATCCCTTTCTTGAGGGTGTTAACGAATCTGATCACATACGCTGTAACTCGAAGCTATTTTGTGATGTTGCCGTAACGCTCAATATCCATTATCTTGTCAATTCCACGGTCGAGTGATTCGCTGGTTCCTGTATTAACCATTGAATGCGTAATGACCTTTTCAGTCTTGATTGCTTCTCACTGAATTTCTTTTTCCTCGGTTTGTGCTGGTTGAGACATTCCTGGCCACTGGCTGACGGGATTTAGCAAAAAAATTGGACCATTCCACCAAGTGCGACTAGTGGAAAGTTCTTTGGCAGTTATTCCTCGAGAAGGAAGATCGGCGGGGTTAATCTGTCCGGGACAATGTCTCCACGAATCTTTGGGAGTTAAGCGGCGAATCTTGTGAACTTGTTGGCCCACGTACTGTTTCCACACTCTTTCGTTCTTTATCCAACAAAGCGTTGTCATAGAGTCGGTCCAGAACACTGCGGGAGATTCGATGTCAAGGGACCTGAGTTTGTTTACGAGACAGGTTAAGATCAGCCCTCCCAACAATTCCAGGCGAGGGATTGTTTGTCTCTTAATCGGCGCGACTCTCGATTTGGAGGCGACTAGTCGAACTTCAACTTGTCCATCAGAGTAGGTGCTTCGAATATAAACAACGGCGGCGTAAGCACGTTTGGATGCGTCGCTAAAACCATGTAACTGTATGTCCATGGGTTGACGGGCAAAATAACAACGTGGGATGTGATAGCTATCGATGAGGATTAAATCTTGAAGAAACGATTTCTATTTTCGAAGGGATTGTCCTTTCAGTTCAATGTCCCAATTTGTTTTTTCGATACACAGTTTTTGAAATAGGATTTTCATTTCCACTGGCAAAGGTGACAGAAATCCCATGGGGTCGTATATCTTTGCTGTTACTTTGAGAACCGATCTCTTGGTGAGCGGAAGTGAGCTTGCATACT